GCACCATATAAGGAAATTTATAAAGATCTTTTAACTAGAAGCAAGCAATCTAAAATTACATACATTTTGCAAAAGGTAAAGCATGGATCTGAAGATAATGCAGAAAAATACTCAGAGGATAAGGATAACTTGCCAAAAATAAAACGCTCTCGGTTAATAGTGCTTTTAGTGATGATGAAGAAAACATTGTTTAATTTATATTAATATGTATCACTTAAGAAAATTTTAATAAAGATATTTATCTTAATTATGAAGATATAATAGCATGTTTTTTAATTTTTGGAACCTAACCCTCCTTTTCGTACTAGTTCTTTGTTTCGTATAACATGGATTTGCATAACATGGCAATTTTTTGGAACATAACTACCGTGTTATACGGGGGTTACCTGTATATTTAACTAAACAGTTTTATATGCATCATCATAAATTGAAAATAACAAACTAAGTAAGTCAATAACTAGATATACAATAATTATAAAAACACACTGCATGATAAAAGATTCATTAAACAAAAAAAAACCTTTGCAATATTATCATAATAATAATCATAGCTAGTGTTTAATAAAGCTACGATAGAGAAGTATTTTAGCTGTATAAAGAAAACTTAAGTAAAAGGGCAGAACTATACAAACTATAAAAGTAAATAATATAATCATATTATTTACTCAGTTAATATAATCAGCAAGTGTTTTCTGATTGTAACACAGTTAAACATGTCTATCATGAACATCATGAGAACAAGAAAAAAATTTGAGATAGACAGGTTTCAAGATATATATATAGAGATTTCTGCACAGTAAACAGTAATAGGCAGTATGATCATTACCATCATAGTAAGGGTGAATTGTTACAAATTGATAATGAGCAATACCTGCAATAATTGGGCAAGGCACTTGTTTGTTTTCATGAATCCAATCCATCGTGCTGCTTATGAGCAGCATGAATGGAGGTATAGTTCACAAAATTTAAAACAATGGTATCGGTAATATTCTTAAATTTTTTTTTTTTTTTTTTTTTTGTAAATTCTAAAAATAAATAAGATTATTTCCAGATTAAAAACAAGTAAAACTACTCTTTCTTGTCTGACTTTGAGTGATTAATTTTAGCAAATAACAAACAAATAAAGAAATACTGAACTTTAATTACCAATAACTTAATGTTCATTGATTTCACAATTTATTTTTAGAATTTACAAAAAAATTTGGAGATATGGTATTTATTAATACAATAGCAAGTACAGTACACATCTATATTAAGTATACATAAAACATTTTTGACATCTTAACAGAAATAGTTTGTAAATAGTTTCTAATGCCTTCCTTCAACCAATAAGATGCAAGCCAAACTTGTAACCTTAGCCCACTAGTGACTGAATGGATAAAATCACTGAACACTAGTAGTTGGTCATGGATTTGCACCTGGCCAATGGGCTGGCCATATGGAGTTTTCTAGGTTTTCTTCATGTTTGTAACATCTAATAGATGCCAGTTTTCCATAGAAAGTCTTTCCACAAAGCATCCCCCTTGGCAGATCTCCCATGTGTTGCACAAATAAACCAAACCAAACTCATAGCCAATCAGACAAAAACAGCATTAATTGCAACTATGTCTTTTTTTAAGAGATGTTTCTTAATTACAATTTATACTATCAAAAAAGTCATTGAACTTTGAAATTGTAACTAACATTTCAGTCAATAATTTAAAATATTGAGGTTTTGACAAAAGTTTATTTGAGATAAACGTGGAAAATGTATTGATTTTATACTGAAAATGCAAGGGAAAAAATAAAATTCGAATAGAGAGGTTTTTGAGATAGGTAGGTTTAACTGTAAATTAATTTCAAAGACATTAAAAAACAAAACTGCCAAATAAATAAAAACGTAAACAAAAATTTTATATTGTTAAAAGATGTTAGCAAAACAAATTAAATTTCCAACAAAATATCTAAAATCTTATTTCTACATTTCTGTTTTATAAAATAATTGTATATTTTAATGACTTGAATTTTTAACTTAACTTTTAATAATTTGCAACCTGAAAACAAGAGATTAAATAGTAATTTTTGTACTCATAAAACCTGTAAAAATAAATTTTGAATCAAAATTATGGTAAATCCCCCACTAACTTGGACTTTTAGAGGGTGAAGTACATCTGAGTTGGTAAGATGTATCTCTGACGACATGGAAATTGAGAAAGTGAATATGTTATTAGCTCCATAAAGAAGTTTTACCAAGCTTTAGTAGGTTATACCATTAATTTATTATTACAGGAAATGAGCTCAAAAGATTTCATGGCAGTACAGTATAAAATACAATGTATAGTTTTTAGTAACTTACTGACTACAGCAATATAATGAACAGTATCAAAAAGACTTTTGGATATCAAAAATACTTGTTAATTATAATTTTTCTATTGTCAAGAAGTTTTAAATTACCTTACAACTTTTTGAAAGAATTTCTTTGCATTATGTAAAGTCTGAGTTGGTGTGGATTTACTATAATTCCATTTTCACGTTTGGATTTCTACTTATCTATTGCTATTAAATTCTATATAGATCAACATTTTAATAATTCAAATACTACTGCAAGTGAATTTTCTAATAAGAGATTTGATTATAACATCAAAATAAATTTGTTTTTCAAAACCGCAATGCGGCATAATAATCAACACTTGGCATAACTCATTCATTTATGACGCGTTCTTACACACATGTCGGGCTTCGTTTTGCCCCTCCTCAGTCAAACTTGTATCTTCCTTATTCTTTCATCCTCATGTTGCCAGGCCTTGCTGTTTTGTATACAATCTTGATCTCTTGAAATGTGTGTAAGAACGCGTCATAAATGAATGAGTTATGCCAAATGTTGATTATTACGCTGCATTGCGGTTTTGAAAAACTAATATAAAGATACAACACTGTTTTGAAATATGAAAGAAGATTATGGAAAAACAGAAATGGCATCATTCACATATGAGGATCAAGATTGTATACAAAACAGCAAGGCCTGGCAACATGAGGATGAAAGAATAAGGAAGATACAAGTTGACTGAGGAGGGGCAAAATGAAGCCTGAAACGTGTGTAAGAACGCGTCATAAATGAATGAGTTATGCCAAGTGTTGATTATTACACTGCATTGCGGTTTTGAAAACTAATATAAAGATAAATCTGACTTACGGAACCTTTAACCGATGTGTGTCACTTTTTCTTTCAAAAATCAAACGTTTTCCTAACCCCTTCTGGGTTCTTCATCAGGATAACAGCTGGATCGAATATCGATTTCAAAAAGTTTTAATGATTCCCTAAACGTTTGATTTTTGAAAGAAAAAGTGACACACATCGGTTAAAGGTTCCGTAAGTCAGATTTATTGTATTATATACAACCCGATGTGCAGTGATAGTATATTAGTATATAATATAAAGATACAACACGGTTTCAAAATACGAAAGAAGGATCAAAATAAATTCTTTATCCACCATAAATTTCCTCTGAACAGTCAAACTTTTTAAACACAGAAATTAGGAAGTATAAAAGTATTTATTATAATTGTTTATCCTTTAATAACTATAAGGTTAATGGAAAGATATGCATATAACTTATCAAATAATGAATAGTCATTTAATTTAAAGATTTAAAAGACATAAAAGATTTAATAATTCTTATACAGCCTCATTTATAGTTCAAATCATTTTGTATATTAGAAAATTAGAAATAAGTTTACAGAGATGATGATAATTAGCTTTTGTAAGGTAATCAAAACTTTATCTCACACTCTCTCACACATACACACACAATAATAAAGTGTTGCTACAGATATATAATTACAGTGGTACCTCAGTATACGTCTGCTTTAGAATACGCCCAATTCGGAATACGTCCTGTTTGGACGAAACAAATTTTGCTCGGTATACGACTTTTGTTCGGTATACGATTTACTTCAATTATATGTGCCAATTAATGATCTCCAAATACCTTTAAAATGCAGTCTAGTTTAATAACTTCTCGAACGTTTTCGGTTAGATTAACAGACCTTCTTCAGGATCGAACTAATAGAATTAAAATTTGCCAAACAAAATCCAAAACGTTCTATAATCTTCTCATATTCAATTGCGCATGTCCATTTTTATAACTGTAATGCCGCCGCTTTCCATGCTGATGCTATTTTGTATGATTCTCGAAAATTTATATTTCGCCCTTTTTCTCTGTATTTGTAAATGTGCCAGGCTTCTGCATATTTTAGATGTCTTCTATTTTCAACCTTTTGTACGACATCTGCCTTGCTCCATTTGATTTCAATCTCTGTTGGATCTGCAATTGCATAATTAGCCAAAGCTGTGCGATAACGATATAGTGCTTACAAGAGCTGACAAGTCAAAAAGTATGGTCTTAATGAAGAGGGACACATATAAGGAACTGTTAACAGTGTATATAAAAGACACGGAATGCAAAATGGCACACCCAAAGGCTTTGGAAAGGTTACAAGCAAGAGTAAAACGTTTCTCTATGACAACGTTAGCTAAGCAACTAGGAATGACGAGGATAATAGTTTCATCCCCAGCCATGCCGAGGCTATTCAGATTTGCTAAGACACATAAATCAGAAAGAAGCTTGAGGCCAGTAGTCGATAAATACTGTGCTCCTACGATACTATTAGAATGGAAGCTTAAGGAATTTATTAATGCAAACATGCCTCCACACGTTTATAATGTAAAGCAGCCATTAGAAGTGCTCCAGAAGTTGAAACAACTGAAAATTAACGAAACAAGATACATGACAGTGCTCGACTTTAAGGCTATGTACCCTTCAATTAACCTTGAACCATGTTTTTGTCACCTAAGAGATTTTTTATTGGGAAATATCGATAACGCAGCAAAGTTATGAAAGCAAATTCTAGAACTGGCACATTTGGCTACATTCTCATCACTTTTCATTTTTGACGGTACTGCATACTTGCAGCTTAGAGAAGTACCAATGGGTAGCCTGGTCTCAGGCTTATTGTGCGAGATGGTAATAAGATCTCTGGAAAATAGCGTATTGCAGAAATATGAAGATAATATAATAATGTATGCAAGGTACGTAGACGATGTATTTATTATTTGGAAGGATACACCAGACATACGCCAATTTATTAGAGATATAAACAGCAATACTTATATGGCCTGGAATTAGAACTAGAGCAGCAAAATCATAAAAGGATACATTTCTTAGATATAGAAGTCGAAATAGAAGAAGAAGGACAAATCGCTACGAAAGTATATAGAAAGCCGACGTATGTTCCGGATTTGATACCATGGTCCTCTCATGACTCAACAAGCTACAAACTAGCAGCGTTTAGAGCACTGATTAAAAGAGCATACACTCATTGTAGCAAGATTCATGATACACGTAAAGAGCTGGATTACATTGCAAAGCTAGCAAGAGATGTAGGACTTAAGCAAAATAAAGTAAAAGCATTAATACAAGCAGAAAAAGAAGGCAATAAGAATAAAGATAAGAGAGAGAAAAAGGAGTTCACCGTAATGGAATACAGAGAACTGTTAAGTAACATATACAGAAAAATAGAAATAGAAAGCAACAAGAGAATAGTGTATAAGAGAAACACGACAATATTCCAAATGCTAAGAAATGACAAAACACCAGTAGACAGGAGGCTGATTCCAGGCGTATACAGAATACCGTTGCATGATAAGAGGCTGAAAAAGATGTATTATATAGGAGCCACAAAGAGATCGTTAAATGAAAGATTGAAAGAGCACAAAAAGAATATAAGATTTAAACAACCAATCACAGCTTTGGCTAATTATGCAATTGCAGATCCAACAGAGATTGAAATCAAATGGAGCAAGGCAGATGTCATACAAAAGGTTGAAAATAGAAGACATCTAAAATATGCATAAGCCTAGCACATTTACAAATACAGAGAAAAAGGGCGAAATATAAATTTTCGAGAATCATACAAAATAGCATCAGCATGGAAAGCAGCGGCATTACAGTTATAANTTGCAGGACAATGTGGGCATTTACGTGCATTTGGCATTTTATTTGTAATTAAATGAAATAAAATTAAATTGTATTAATAAATCTAATTTTCTTTATTTTGATCTTTAAAGTCACACCTCGTCCTATATGCAAGATCGTCTTATAAGCAAGTAAATACTAGAACTAGAAATTTAGTTTAAATTTCTTTAAATTAAACATTATAATTTGTTGTAAGTTTATCTTTTAGTGATTCACAAGATCTTGCATTATATAACATGGGTATAGAAACATAAGCAGCTATGAAACTAATTTTCATAAACAGAATTTGAAAATTGGAACAACCTTCGATTGCTACCAAAAATTTGTTATTTTATGTAACCATTTCAAATTTTACATATCTGCTTATGTCCCAAATAAAATGTGCTGAATATAATAGGAATACTAATTGAAACTTTTTGTTTTGAAAATTATTATAATAGAAATACTCTATTAATGAGAAACTGAAGAATTTAGAGTTAGTTGCATATGGTTCTAGACCCACGATGTACAAATTTAGAAAGGAATAGCAGTCAAGAATCTGCATTACATCTGCTTCATTTAGAAAAAAATCAATCCTGCATTAACACTTAAAGACCAACAGTATGACAATTAGGACAATTTCTTAAAAAGCAAGATATTTCCTACTTTCTTACTAAAAATAGAAAAAGTAGGATGAATATGAGGCTGCTTACCTGATTTAGATCATATATCAGCTTTTAATTCAAAATTGACCACTGGAAAAAAACTCTTATATAGTAAAAAATTAAACAAATCTCAAAGACTACATTCATATATTTTATAAGCCATTCTCATACAAAGAACCCTAGTAGCATAATAATGAACTACAACTTATTAACTCATTATTTTTTAAACAGATGGTAGGAATAACCTCATTGGTACGAGATACCATACAAGCAGTCCAAGGTGCAACACCTTCCCCTATGATAGAAATACAAATATCTCCTGTATAACATGATAATTAGGTTCTGAAAAGTGCTGTGCTATACGAATCCATGCTATGCAAGACAAAGAACTAGTACAAAACATAGGGTTAGGTTCCAAAAGTTAGCAAAAGTGTACTATTCTTTATACGTGTCCCTCTTCATTAAGACCATAGTTTTTAACTTGTCAGCTCTTGTAAGCACTATATCGTTATCGCACATCCATTGCTTACTTTCTCTTACACTTTTTCAAATTGTGTCGTGGGTTGATCTTGTCACGTCATTGTTTATTTAAAAACTGTTCTCCATCTAAAAGCCTCTTTTTTAAGCTCGCTAAGCCCTTCTACTGCTTGCTCAACCTCAGGGATAATTTTTTCATATGTAAGCTTAGGGCGTGGCACGTACTTGGGGCCAAATTTGCAAGCCTCCTTTAGGCACGTTGGTGGTGTAATATTATCCCAACTTATCTTATTATTGCAGATACTGCTTGTGGCCTTGTGTTTCTTTGTTGCTTTGCTCTTATCCATCTCATTTTCTTCCTATAATTCAAACTCAGCCTTTCTGTGACTTGATCCACTAAGTTTACTACTCTGCTATTAACGTTAGCAAGTAATTCCGGATCTATTTCATATAGTTGATTTTCTACTTCTATTAGTCTTTCAATCAAATAATACTTCCTGCGCCGAACATTTCATATTGCTTTTCTTAGATATAATAATCTTAGTCTTGGGAGAAGCGATTAAAAAGGGAGAAAAACATCAGGGAGAAAAAATTATCCCTGATGTTGAGCAAGCAGTAGAAGTGCTTAGCGAGCTTAAAAAAGAGGCTTTTAGGTGGAGAACAGTTTTTAAAATAAACAATGACATGGCAAGATCAACCCATGACACAATTTGGAAAAGTGTAAGAGAAAGTAAGCAATGGATGTGCGATAACGATATAGTGCTTACAAGAGCTGACAAGTCAAAAACTATGGTCTTAATGAAGAGGGACACGTATAAGGAGCTTTTAACAGCACACATAAAAGGCAGGAATGTAAAGTGTACTATTCTTTTTCATAATTAAAAGAAATACGTTTATTAAAGCAATCAATAATTAACTAACAAACAATCACAATCAAAAGCATTGCATGTCAATATTAATTTTTTTCTTCATTTCTAAATACTGTTAAACAAGGACATTTTCTTTCTGGTAAAATATTGCCATAATCTGAGCTTTCCTGTTCATCTTAATCTGAAATATAGGCAACATCTAGATTTTTCTCTACTTTTTTTCATAAAATCTGATATTTTCATTTGCTTGCCTATGAGATCTTTAAAAATGTAATCTTTTTATACAATAACTTTTAATCTATAAAAAACAAAACACAGCAACAGTCTTTCCGATTCATTTAGAGCACTATCATCAACACCTGATTTATAGGAAAGCTACTACAGGAAGCTAGAAAAAGGAAGAAGAAAAAGTGTATAATCAATTAACAATTTTCAACAATAATCAAGTTTTAAAAATTGTATAATCAGTGCTCATTAAAGAAAACTGAGGAAAAGGCATAAAACAACACTGAAAATTTCAATGTTCTAAAATCTGTGCACAAATATAAGAAAACATGCTTGTTTGCTTGAATAAAAAAAATATAGAATGTGTTTGCACTTAAAAATTGTGACATTTTATACAAGGATGTCTCCAATTCTCAAACAGTATTAGAGCAAAATCATTATTGTAAAAATGTCATGTTCTACAAGAGATATCTATATACATAAATGCTGGGAAAACATTATTTTTCAATAATTAGTTTCCTGAAAATTCCTTGGAAAATTGATATTTTGACAGAAATCCTTTCCATACTTATTTTTTCTTTAAGAATTTATAGGCTAGAATTCCTTAAAGATAAATATTAAAACAAAAATAAAATCATCTTTAAATTACTTTATTTGGTAACATTCTAACTAAATGAAAATAAATATCTCCTTGCAGCAATATTTTTGTGGTTCAGAAAGAATTTTATTATGTTAAAAGTCTGCACATTTTATAACTCTGTGTTTAATAACAAGTCTGTATATTAGGATGAAAGATAAATAAATACTGTACTGCTTAATTCTAGTAAGTAAAGAATATTTACTTAGATCAAAAACATTATTTAATATATCTTCAGCTTATAAATATTTGAATGTCAAATAGCATTGAGCAAAATGAACAAATTCAATATACAAATTAAGATTGTTAGGATTAAAAAGAATTTTAAAATTCATATACAAAAACTTAAGAAGTTATAAGTACAAATAATAAAATTAATATATATAAATAACACACAGTGCACTCTTGCTAATCCAAATTACCATATTTCTGCACAAGAGCATGCTCTTATGTGAAAATTCCTTGTTTTCAGATTTTTTAAACACACATCCTGCTTTTCTTATAAGAGATGAACTTGTTTGTTTTTGTTTTTAAGAGCACTGTACTTCTGTGCCAGTGTAAACTAAATGTACAGTACATGTACTGATACTATAACTATTCAATGACAAAATTAAAAATGCTACTAATGCAATCAAAGTTTTTTTAAAAATAGTGACTTTTTTTAGATACTTTGTGGACTACATTGACAATTTTTCCTCACCTGTAAGAGAACCTTTAGACTTGGATATAAGAGCCTGCTCTTATATGTAAGGAAATATGGTAATTATTGTAAAATAAATGTTATTTGAATTAACAAGGTAAATATACTTAAACAATTTCTATGCTGGATAAACTATATAGAAATTAAAACACCGGAGTTGATAAATTACCTAACTTCACTGCCTGTAACCGGCGTTCTTCTTCTCCAATATGAAGGACTTTGCAAACGTTTTCGAACCTAATGTGGTTCTTCTTCGGGTGCTACAGAATTCCCTATATGAATTTGAATTTCCTACATCATAGAAACAACACCGCCTTAGCGGTATACTCATCCGACCCAGAAATAGAGCAGCTATTCCGTCTAACCAGAATTATTCACACCACGTTCAGCACACAACACCTCAGATGGCTAGAGGCCTTATACATTTGCCTTAATACCCTCAGGAATAAGCACTGCATTAACTTCAAACAAGAAATGAAGATATCAACAGCATGGGAAGCCTTCCTCAATAAATCTCTGAAGTAACAACATACAGATAATGAGCAAGTCTACAATGATGCCATCGGTAACACGTGACAACGTTCCAGAAAGATTTTCCAAAATAACGGTTAATTCTAGACTGGAAATTTGAATTCATATAGGAAATTCCGTAGCACCTGAAGAAGAACCACATTAGGTTTGAAAACGTTTGCAAAGTTCTTCGTATTGGAGAAGAAGAACGCCGGTTACAGGCAGTGAAGTTAGGTAATTTTCTATGCTGGATTTGATACTTATATCTTATATTTATATTAAAATATGTGGTAAATATTAATTTCATAAATTTGACATGTTTTTCAAAAAGAACCTATAATAATTTTTTTTGATTTTGGCTGAAACATTTAGTACAATAAAAAATAAGTAGTTCAGATTAATCAAGATGGTGCTGTAATTGACAGATATAAAATAAATCTTAGCTGTAAGTGGAAATTTAAGAAAATACATTACATAAGTGATAGAATAGAAAAAAGTAATCAGCTGACTTCAAAATTCAAGTGGAACCTATGGTATATGTATTTTGTTCATTGATAAGCACTTTAGAATAATATATAAATCCAATTGCTTTAATTATTTAAGGAGAAATAATTACATAACTCCAATATTATAGCAAGTTTATTCTAAAGCATAATGGTAACAACCAAAGACCTATTAGGATAAAAATTATACAAGTGAACACTAGAAGTTATAATGTTACAAAATTCTTTTATATGAACTACAGAATGTAGAACCAACATAAAAATAATTACAACCTATAATTAGTTTATGTATATAATATATTGCTTTATCCTTT